AATTCTACAACACTTCTATTATTTGTAGGATACAATGCACAGATTCATTTTACATTGTTATTCATTTCAAGGTGGGTATTGAGAACATAATAATTGTCTCTTTTGTGGCTACAAACAACTGACAACTTAAAACAATAAGCTTATGACTTTAAACAAGCAACAAGTTAAAACAATAAACTTATGGTTTCGAATATTGAACTTGTTAAAACAATAAAGCTTATGGCTCAAACAATCGACAAGTTAAAACAATAAAGCTTATGACTTCAAACAATAGATAACTTAAAACAATAAGCTTTTGACTTTAAACAATCGACAACAACATGGGACCTGTTGGTCCATCTAGGCTGTCCCATCCTCTAAACTAAAATAAAAGTATTATACAAAAACATCTAAAAGCCAGCCATTATAATTCATATACTTATCAAGCTTTATCTTAAACTAACTTAAATTTACTGCCTCTACAACATCCGAATGCAACCCATTCCTAAAGCCAACCACCCTATGAGAAAAATAAAACTGTCTTAACTGAAGATGGCTCCTCTCCTGCCAAAATTTGTATTTGTGTCCCCTAGTCCTACCATTCTCATTGTGAAGTATGAAAAAAGATGATGCATTAACACCATCAATTTTCATTACAATCTTAAACACCTCAATCCGGTCCCCTCTGACTCCTCCCTTTTCAAGAGAGAACACTTTGAGAGATTTCAACCTCTCCTCATATGACAACCCCTCCATCCCAGGTACCATTCTGTTGACTCTTCTCTGAAGCAGGAGTAACAATAATTTATGGTTTGGTGTGTTAAGTATTATCAGTAATTTGTCCTGTTTATTCCAGGATTAACAATAATTATGGTTTGGTGTGTTAAGTATTATCAGTAATTTGTCCTGTTTCTTCCAGGATTAACAATAATTATGGCTTGGTGTGTTAAGTATTATATGTAACTTGTCTTGTTTCTTCCAAGATTAACAATAATTATGGTTTGGTGTGTTAAGTATTATAACTAATTTGTCCTGTTTCTTCCAGAATTAACAATAATTATGGTTTGGTGTGTTAAGTATTATATGTAATTTGTCCTGTTTCTTCCAGGATTAACAATAATTATGTTTTGGTGTGTTAAGTATTATACGTAACTTGTCCTGTTTCTTCAAGAATTAACAATAATTTATGGTTTGGTGTGTTAAGTATTATACGTAACTTGTCCTGTTTCTTCCAGCACTAACAAGTTCTACTTAGTGGCTCCGCTTGGTTTCTTTCATATCTGAAACTTCAAAGTGGTAGATTCTTTCGAGAATGTAAAGCTAGAATTCACTGTTTCATGTGTCACTTTACGAAGAGCAACACTATAGTTCACTGTTCCATGTGTCACTTTACGAAGAGCAACACTATAGTTCATTGTTTCATGTGTCACTTTACAAAGAGCAACACTATAGTTCATTGTTCCATGTGTCACTTTACGAAGAGCAACACTATAGTTCACTGTTTCGTGTGTCACTTTACGAAGATCAACACTATAGTTCACTGTTCCATGTGTTAATTTACGAAGAGCAACACTATAGTTCACTGTTTTATGTGTCACTTTACGAAGAGCAACACTATAGTTCACTGTTTTATGTGTCTCTTTGCGAAGAGCAACATTATAGTTCATTGTTCCATGTGTCACTTTCAAAACTATTGTTTAGTGTTTCATGTGTCATTTTACATAGTGCATAAACACATTTCGCTTATTTTGGTTTTTATCCAAGTATAGAAACTTTTATAAATTAACTTTCCTCACATTTAAACTTACTCTCACTATTATCACATAATTAAAAACCAGTCATTCTCTGTATTTTGAGATTAGAAAAGCGCAGATGACCATGAATTAGGCTTGGAGACAGCAGGGTCTCGCTTATGTAACTTAATCGTGTTTTGATCACAAGCCTTTGTTTTGAAAACAATGCTGTTATAAACAAAGAACTCGGGTTGATACATCGTCACAATATTTTTATGCGTTAGATAGATAACACGCTTATATTATAAGAAAAACAAATATTATGTCATAAGCAAGGTGTGGGTTGGCCCTGTGTATGTCATAAGAAAATCAAAAATGATATCATAAGCAGGGTGTGGGTTGGCCTTGCTTATATTATGAAAAAATAAATATTATATCATAAGCGAGGCGTATGCTAATCCTGATTAAATTAAAAATGATAACACATGGTATCATAAGCTGGGCGTAGGTTAACACTATGTATAACAAATATGATACCATAAGAGGGGCATGAATATTAAAAAAACAAAACAAATATGGTATCATGACCAGAGCGTAGGTTGGCTCTGTGTATATTATTAAAAAACAAAACAAATATGATATCATAAATAGAGTGTGGGTTAACACTATGTATAACAAACATGATCCCATAAGACGGGCGTGAATATTAAAAAACAAAACAAATATGATATCATAAATAGAGTGTGGGTTAACACTATGTATAACAAACATGATCCCATAAGACGGGCGTGAATATTAAAAAACAAAACAAATATGATATCATAAATAGAGTGTGGGTTAACACTATGTATAACAAATATGATACCATAAGACGGGTGTGAATATTAAAAAACAAAACAAATATGATATCATAAATAGAGTGTGGGTTAACACTATGTATAACAAACTTGATACC